AAAAGCTAGTTTCAAAGTACTAACAACAAAAAATGAAGAAGTAAAGGAACTTCCTCAAGTAATAATTCACAGAATGCTTCTGAGAAAGACCAAAATCAGTGGATAATGCTTCAACAGGAAAAAAAAAAAAAGGAATCAGTTGGACCATTCCCCTTTTCCATGAAGTATTACTAGAAGTTATTGCTTTCCAGCAGGTTTTCCCTGTACAGATAAACGGAGGCAGCTCCTCCTGTACAACAATCCAATAACAGGCATTTTAACATAACTCACTTTAATGTAATAATTATGTTACAACCACTCCAATTCCAGCTCAAGACTTACACATTGCCAAGTGGCTTGAAGAAACACTAAATATAGTTCAGCACAGAAACTTTCATGCAGGACATGAGCTATTAAAAGCCATGTTCCAAAACTCCATGTGAGTCACAGCAATGCCATGAGTACAGGCCCTGGAAAAACCTATTTGTACACAAGGAGTTGCATTTGGACAGTGGGAAACGAGCACAGAAGTGATGGTAAGTCATCTTCTTGCATAAAAGCAGAGCTTTCTGAGGCAGTTTGTGGTCTCTTCCAGATTTCTAATTAGTCAGAGCTGCCTGTCCCTGGTTTAAATTACTGCAAGAGCCTCGGGGCAGATCGAGTATCTCTCCCAGTAAAGGCAGTAAGAATATCCACCTGTCTGATCTTGGGTGACTTCACCAGACCTAAACCTCCCACACCAGTTGTCTGGAATCATTTTAATCTGAATGGTACGCTGGTGACTGCACATAAAAGATGGAAAAAGAACCTGATGGCAACAAGAGCAGCAGCTGGTCCCCAGGGGCCGGGAAGCCCAACTGGTGTGAGGCTGTCACAGCCTGCAATGCCATTAATTACAGCCCGAGCTCTGTGAGCAAACAGCACGGTCCAGACCCTCCGTGGGCTCATTCCTCATGGAAATTACTCTGCTATGTACTTCAAATGCTTATTAGTGTATCAGTGCAAAGCTTTGATGACAATAGCTCTGAAGGTTTATTTTCATTAGGGATGACTGCAGCTTAAAGGAAAATATTCCTGAGCTTCTAATCAAATCTGTCTCCTTTGTAATTTATAAAAGGGTATGAAAACTAAGACAAGCACTCACAGATATCTGAAGAATTACCTTGCTGACATCATACATCACATAATTAATTTCTGAGCCTAACACTCAGCTGCTCTGCTGGAGTGAGGATCTGCTCCGGAAGCGTCCCAAGGACAGGTACAAAGGTACAAACACCGGGGGGAACCTCCTTCCCCAGATCTGTGAGACAGCACGGACTGAAACACAGCCCACAACTCCATTTCACAGGGCCCTGTGCCCAGGCCAAGCACACACACACAGTTGATCTCAGGGGATGTGAGCCATGGTCCTCAGGAGAGAGGAAGGTTTAGGGGAATTAGTACATAAATCCCATTAAAAGCAATCCCAGCACGTGGCCTCTAAGGAATCACAGACCACCTGAAATTCATCAAATTCAGAATTAAGGTTATTCCTTTCTTCTCCACTCCCTCCCCAATTTAGTTTTGCAGCCCATCTAAAACTTCCAGGCTGTTTCCAGCTGGATTTGGGATGTAGCTCAAGACAAAGCCAGCTCTGAGCTGGCTCCTCTGGGTGATCAGCTGTGTGCCTGTCATGGGCAAGGTGCCACTTTATTCCCATGCATTAATTCAGCTCGTGTGGAACTAATGATTTCCTGGCAAGCCCTGCCTCTGCTCACCTGCACGCCCAGCCCTGCTTTTTGGGAATTATCCTGGCTGGATTAGAGAGCCCTCACAATAGCATGAGCACCAACACATCCCAAGACTCACTCACTACTCCAGCTAAGGCTGCCCTGAGAAAACTGTGATGCCACCTCCAGTGACAGGTTCTGTCTCAGTCACCTGGCCCACACTCTGACAGTGACTGATATTTTACTTTTCAGGTTTCCCAGAGCTCGAGCTGTTCCCCTCAGCAGCACTGACAACAAATCTGGCAGATACATAAAATATACAGTCCTCAACAGCAGACTGAACACTTGTCTTAAGGCAGCCAACCACATCCACGAGACAATTGCAGCAAAATATTTAACACATCTATTAATTATTGTGGAATCCTGTTCCACTCAGCTAATCCCCTCTTTAATTAGTTTCCTACATGTATTTCACAGCTCCATATAATCCTGTCCATGGACTCACAGGCTTCCCATAAATGCCATTCCTTGGCTTTGATGGAGCTCTTGCCCATCTTTTCTTATTTTCCACACTAAGGTGACACTTCCCTGATCCCAAATCACACATGTGGGATCCAAGGCCAAGGATGCCAACCTTGGAAGCGGGCTGGGAGAAGGGCAGTGTCATTCCTCCCTTCACCCCTGAACTATTTCAAACACCCCCTCATTAAAGAGAGCAAACCCAGGCAGAGCTGCATCGCTGAGGCACGGCCGAGCTCTGCTGACCTCCTGGGGGAGTGTCTGCTCTCCACACACCCCAGTTATGAGGGAAAAACCTCTGAATCGTGGAAAAGCAAAGCAGGAGGAGACACCCCTTCCAAACACACCACCAGGAAACACAACAGCCAGCGAGAGGTGACACCCAGGGGGATGTCCCAGGGAGGGTAAGTGGGAAGGGGCAGCTCCCCCAGCATCCTTGAGCACCCCAGGTGAGGGGGAGATGTGACCCCTCAGCACAGATCCCAAACTGCTCCTCTTGTGGAGCAGCTTATTCCTCTACAGGATCCCCCAAGGGCGTCCAGGCTCTTGAAACACTGAGCCATCACCTCCTCAAGCAGTTCCAGAACTAGCGGGTCCCTCTATGCAGGGCTTCTCTCCTCATCCTGCCCCAGAGCTTACAAATGAGTTAACCAACTCAATACAACATATAAAACTGCCTGCAAGATCCCACTGAATGCCCTCCACGAACCCCGCAGTGCTTCTCAAACCACATCTGAAAGCCTCAGCCCTGATATTTGCAAGTGAAACCAGTTAAAATTTGTCCCCACTACATGGTTTTACAAGAACCCTGATGACTACAGGAATGCTTGGCTAGTACACGAAATGTAAGGAGCTGAGTAATATGAAATATTTGCAATTAATATCAGGCTTATAAAAACACATGACTCGGCATCATTTTAAAAGGTTCAAAATGGAAAACAATGACAGCATTGTCTGTGCTTTAATGAAACCAGGAACCCCCCATCCCACGTGCCCAGACTGCCAGGGCACCCCAGACTCCCTGGCACAGCTGTGTGAGCAAGAACCTGCCCAGACACCACGCCCCGAGCACCCCACGGTGCCACTGCCCTCACCTGCCCATGGCCAAAGGTCAGTGCCAACCTCCCCACACACCCTGCTCCAAACACTGCTCCACACTTCAGCTGGATTTGCCCCTGGAAGCAGAAAGCATCCCGAGCTGTTTATCCTACTCAGTACAACCCAGATTACTCGAAATTCCACTCGGGATTTGGAGCTGAGGGGCTGACACATGCAAACAGGGAATGCCAGTAATCCCTCCAACAATGTAAAAAAATCCATTAGTTGATATGGAATGAGAGGATGGAGGTTGGTTGGGAAGTTGTTCCCTTTTCCAAGCAAAACAAACCTATTAAAAATTTACTCCTTGGGCTTTATTAGCTGACACACCTGCCCTGGTTTGCGTGGGCCCCGAGGAAAGCAAACACCCTGCTAAGGGAGTTACTGGAGAGGATGCCACCAAAATATACTCAGATAATAAATGAATTTATACTCTCAGTATCAGCACAGGCTTTCAGTTTATACTTTCAGTATAGGTGCAAACTTTCAGATTAAATCTTTACTAAAAGCAGAGAAGAGTTTCTGGAGGAAAGTACTGACTTCTACTAGAAACCCAGTGCAGTGATATCTGCACGTTCAGCTCACGTGTCTGGGCACAGATTTATTTCCACAGACCCAGGTCCCTCCCAGACTCCAACAGCTGGAAATTGGTGACAACTGTACCTACAGGGCTCCTGTTACTTTTGTTAAAATTAAGTCCTGGGGGAGGCGCTCCCTGAAGCATTTCTTAAATGTGAGAAAGAGCGAGAAACAGCCCGAATACCTCAATATTAACGCGGAGAGAAAGGAAACGAAACTCGCCAAAACCCAGACAGGAAGAGCCCGATGCAAATGGCCCTGCGGGGCTTGGGGACCCCCAGGGCTCTGCCGAACCCGCCGGACCTCTACCGAACCAGGTCCGGTGTGACCGGGGGCAGGGCAGGGGGAGCGCCCGGGGCCGGCGGGGACCGACCGACCGACGGACCCACCGACGGACCGACCCACGGCGACCGACGCGCCCACCGCCCAGGGCAGCGCGTCCCCCGTCACTGTTTCAAGCCCCGGGCGCCGCGGCCGCCCCTCCCGCTCCCCCCGAGCCATAGCGGCCGTTCCCCGCCGGAGCCCCGCCGCGCCCGGCCCGGCCCGCAAACCTGCCCCACGGTCTGGTTGGCGAGCGCTTCATGCGGTTGAACTGTTTCTTCATGGCGGCGGCCGCTGCCGGGGCCCTCCCCGGCGCCGCTGCCCCCCGGGCTGCCCCGGCCCCGCCGCTCCCGCGCCGCCCCAGCACCGCCCGCCGGCCCGGCCCGGCCCGTTCCGGCCCCGCCCGCCGCGCGTCACCGGCCCCCCACGGACCGGATGGCCCGCCCGCGGACCCGGATGTGGCAGCTGCTCTCCGCCACGGCGCTGCCTCCGGCGTTCTCTCGGGAGCCTCGGGCGCTGCTGCTCTCTGCAGGGCGGCCCGGGCCGGGCTCGCTGCTCGGAGTGCCCGTTTTGGGACAGGCCCCACTCCGCGACCGCGCCGGTACCGCCGAGGCGTCCCCCCCAGGACTACAGCTCCGCGGCGTGCCTTGCGGTTATCCGCCGCTTCCCGGCCGGGCGCTGCGGCGCGCGCGCTCTAATTGGGCTTTGTGGGGACGGACGAGCCACAGACCAATCGCGCCGAGCCCCGGCGGAGGCGGCCCAATGAGCGGCGGGCGGGGGGCGGGCCGCAGGGGCGGTGGCAGCGGCCGGCCCCGCGCGCTCCATGGCGGCCGCCGGCGGCCCCGACGAGGCGGACGAGGCGGTTCGCGGCACCTGCGAGGACGCGTCTGTCTGCAAACGGTACCGGCCCGGGGGGCGGGCGGGACGGGCACCTCCGCTCTGTCCCCGCCCCGCGCCGGGGCGCTGCTGGGTCGGGGAGCGAAGCACGGGCGGCTCCCGGGAAGCGGCGCTGGAGGGGAGCGGGAACAGCCCCGTGCGGTGCCGGTGCCCCGGGAGAGCAGAGCTGGGGCCGCGGGGTGCGGAGCTGAGCTCCCCGTGTGAGGGCGGGCTGTGCCCCGAGCACGCCCGTGCTGCCGCAGCCCCCCGGTCGTGCCTGTGAGCCCTGTGCGGGGTCGGCTCAGAGCTCGGTGATAAAGCAGCGTACGGGGGTAGCCAGCACCTCACAGCGGGGTCAGAAACTCCGGTAACGCTGGATATCTCTGAGGAAAACGGTCTCCATATATTTCAGGTTTCTTTCTTCATCCCCTGTAGGGCGGGCGCGGCGAGGGGATGAGTTGGTTGCCCTCTTGTGCCTGATTTAACTTGTGTCGTCGCTGGCTGTTTGTTCTGCCCTCTTAGTTTTTGCAGCAGGAGGTTGTTGGGTGTTTGAGTTTGGCTTGAGAGTTTCCCTTTTTGAATCGGTTGTAAAACCAGTGGGTTCTGTTAGAATAACACTTGTCTGTGTTAAAGTGCTGTGTTTAAGCTCTGGAATAAGTGCAAACAGCTCGTGGCATAACAAAGGGTGGAAGCAAAGCCTGATTTGTGTGTGTCTGAGGACCTGGAAACACAATTCCCCTGCTGGGTCCTCCAGGAGGAAACAGCTGAGATTCGGGTCTTTGCCCACAGAATTTTACCCAATAGCACAGAGCCCATTAAAGAGTTGCTTCTTTAGTATGGCAACAGCCAGATTTTCTGACTAAATTTTATATAATCTCTTAATTGAAATGGTTCCACGTGTGGAACAGATTTTATTCTGTGTCTGCATGTGCACACCCAGGGCAGAGGGACCTTACCAGTCCCTGTATCTTTTGGGGTACACAGGCTTTTAGGGTACACCAAGATGTACCCTTAGTGGCCTTATTTCCTAATCCTTTCTTTCTTTTCCCCACTCCTGGACAGGTTTGCTGTCAGTGTTGGCTACTGGAAGGACCCTTACATCCAATATTTTGTGAGACAAGCCAAGGAAAGGAAAGCACCTGAGATCAATAGAGGCAAGTTGGAATGGGGATGGAGACACTGAACTGGTCCTGAGGCTGACAAAACCCCTGTGCACTGGGTGTTAGGGGGGTAGGGAATACAGGAAAGAGTGAGACAAGTTTTCTTCACAGAAATAATTTCTTATTGTAGCTGATCTTTTAAATACTATTTTGTAAATCAATGCTCTCATCCTTTGCTTTCTGTGTTCTAAACAGGATGTGACTGTGTGTCTCAGTGTGCAGAAATCTCCTCAGAGCAGTCACAAATGTTTCTTTGACCCAGGACAGCTGGCTATGTCAGCTCTGGTCTCTGCAAGTGTGGACACCAGCCAGAGTTATTTTGCTCTGTTTGAGGTGAAACTTGACTAAAATGTCTATTTACCCAATGAATTCTGTTTTATCAGTGCATCAGATTTTTTTAAAAATTAAAAAAGAAAAACAAAAGCCCTTAGGTATCTTAGAAAGAGGGCATTACTCTTCCTAAGAAACACCACTGTTCACACAGGCTACCTGAAATTCTTCATGAGTGTTAAACATCAAGTATTACATAAAAATAATAATTAAACTGAAGCTTTTGTGTGTGTTAACAGGTTATTATGCTCGTGTTCACGGAGTCAGTTATCTGATTAAAGCTTTTCTAAAGAAGACAGAATGCAACTGTCAAATTGTTAACCTTGGGGCTGGCATGGACACCCTGTTCTGGAGACTGAAGGTGAGGAGAGCTGAGGTGACAGGCCTGGCTGAGGACTGAGATCCATGGGGAGGTTTGAGCTGCCCTTCTGTGCTTGTCAGTGCTGAGTTCTGTCACACAGGGGGAGGTGGGCAGGGAGGCAGCACTGCACAGGCTGTCACAGAATCCCAGAACAGCTGGGGCTGGAAGGGACCTCTGGAGATCACCCAGTCCAACCCCTGCCCAGGCAGGGTCACCTGGAGCAGGTGACACAGGGACTGTCCAGGTGGGGTTGGAATGTCTGCAGAGAGGGAGACTCCACCACCCCCTGGGCAGCTGTTCCAGGCTCTGCCACCCTCCAGGGAAAGAAGCTCTTCCTCATGCTGAGGTGGAACTTGAGTTTTAGTTTATGGCCATTGCTCCTCGTGCTGTCACTGGCACCACTGAGCAGAGCCTGGCACCATCCTCTGGCAGCCCTGGAGATATTTGTATGGATTGATGGGATCCCCTCTCAGCCTTCCCTTCTCCACACTAACCAGGCACAGCTCCTGCAGTCTCTCCTCAGCAGAGAACTGCTCCAGACCCCTCACACCTTTGTGGGTGGACCCTCTCCAGGAGCTCCTTGTCTTTCTTGGAGCCCAGATGTGGGCACAGCACTCCAGATGTGCCTCCCTGGGGCCGAGTAGAGGGGCAGGATCACTCCCTCACCCGCTGGCCACACTCTTCCCATGCCCCCCAGGATCCCAGTGTCCTGGCTGCTCTGCCTCAGTTCTCTGCTTGTTTAGAGTCAGTTCAGGTGCTTTTAAACCTCAGAGCTCAGGAGGGGCTGTGGTTTGCCCTGGCTCTTCCCCAGAAGTGTGTGACACCGAGCTGACCTCTAGTGGGCTTCCAGGAACAGCAGGAATGCCGTGGTTTGCTGTCCTCTTTCAACCTTCAGATTTCACTGTTTTACCCTATAACAAAACAGGAATGATATACCAAAGCACAGGATTGTACAGCTCTGTGTACATGTTTCTGAATGAACTGTATAAATGTGAGTTTATATATGTAAATCACAGAATCCCAGGCTGGTTTAGGTGGGAAGGGACCTTGAATATCATCCAGTCCTCAGGGAGGTTGGACTGGATAATCTCCAGAGGTCCCTTCCAACCCCAACTATTCTGGGATTCTGTGATTACATAAAATGTTAAATAATTTCCTTAATGCCTAGAGAACATTCTAATGTCTGTGAACTGCATTTTGTTGGGTTTTAGGTTGTTTTAAGCTGTAATTGTTATACCATTGTTAGAAATGCCAGAACTGTTCAGGACTTGGAGTTATATCTTCTTCTGTGGATGTGAAACCTGAGTCTCCCTAATTCTAGTGTCTTCCTCCAAATCCCAGGATGAAAATCTTCTCCCTAGAAAATATTTTGAAGTGGATTTTCCAATGATCGTTGCAAGAAAAATACATAATATCAAGTAAGTCTGAGGCCTGTGTTTGTCTGTGTGAGCCTGGATGTGAGTCAGTGTCATTATTTCATCTCTCTGCTGAGAAACATTTCGTGCTCTGGGCTATGAGGGTGGTGAGGGTGTGAGGCACTGACAGGCTGCCCAGAGAAGCTGTGGCTGCCCCATCCCTGGAAGTGTCCAAGGCCAGGTTGGACGGGGCTTGGAGCAACCTGGGCTGGTGGAAGGTGTCCCTGCCCATGGCAGGGGTGGCACTGGATGGGCTTTAAGGTCCTTCCAACCCAAACCATTCTGGGATTCTGTGTAGAGTAAAGGTTCATTATGCAGGCAAGTTCCTACATGTGACTGTGCAGCCACTGTTCCAAACTGGAGAAAGTGGAATGTGGAAGCTGTGGGGAGCCAAGCAGACCTCATTCTGGGGCAGGGAAAATCTCATGATGATTAGAGGTGATTAAGTCTTTTTTTACTGTTGGAGACAGCAGTAAATTCCCAGACTTGCCTGTTCAGGTAGAGAGGTAGGATAGCTGGTGCTGTATGGGAATGTTCTGTTTGGATGAATCCATTAAGGCTTATTGAGGATACATACAGAGTGTCTGGATTTTTCTTGAAAGATTACCTCAAAAATTAGGAGTAATCGGGTATAAAAGTCAACTGCAACTTTCACAAACTTGCAAAGGTTTTCATTTCCAGTAGAGGGCAGAGATATTCTCTTGGCTGCTTTTATCACAGACACACACACACATAGATATATATATATATGTTAAAAAAAAAAGATGTAAGCTCACTGTTAAACAGGCTTAGCTGCTCTGAGATGCTTCTTCCTTCTTCCCACAGATCAAAACCTCCCCTGTCAAAACCAATTATGGAATCCCATTCAGGGGACTCTCTTCTAATAGGTGAGTCATCTTCAAACTCAGTCAGCAATGTACTGCAGCACTTTTAAAACTTTTCTGATCATTTTGTTCTGCTATGTGGGCAGGCTTTTAATGTTTGAAATGCTGTTTGGACAGAGAATTGTGAGGGAAAAGAAGCTTTTTTCTTCTCTTACAGACTTCTGCCCATTCGTTCTGTGTCATGTTAGAAATGTCTTCTCTTTAAGTGGTTTTATTCTGCCAGAAAGTTTTTGGGTTTTTTCTTTTTCTCTCATATGTAGCTTAAGTTTTCTGTCACAGGAAAAGAAGTGCTACTGAGAGGCATGGATACAGGATTAAAATATCTATTGAGTGTTTATCTTCTTTCTGTCTCATTAGGAGAACAAGTCTTTACATTCAGCAGAGTCTTCACAGTAGAAACACAGCCTGCAAAGTCCAAGCTCAGGAGCCAGTGCTGTTTGTTATATTTTAGTATTAAAAGGGTAATAAATTCAGGTGGTGTCATGTGGTTGTACCATCTTGGCTTATAACCTTATTCTAGAACAGGATGTTGTGGACTCCCCATCCCGAGGAACACTAATTACTTCCATCTAGGATAGCAACTATTTTGTGTGAGCAGGTGTGACTCTAAAGCAGAGCTCCTTGTGTTTGCTGCTCCCTGAGGGATCACCTGGACTGGTGCTTTTATTAAGCACAACTCTAGCTCAGGGTCTGGAGGGCTTAAAAGGGCCCTCACTGAATGCCAGACTGGGCCAGGCTGGAAGGGAGCACAGCGGGTCACTGGCCCCACCTCCCTGCTCCAGCCCGTGGCACAGAGTGTGTCCAGAGGGGTCTGGAATATCCCCAGGGAGGAGACTCCACAACGCTCTGGGCAGCCTGTTCAGCGCTTGTCACTGCACAGCAAAGTTCTTCCTCCTGGCCAGGTGGAACTGCCTGGGCATCAATTCCTGCCCATTCCTTTTGTCCCATTTCTGGGCACCCCCAGCAGAGCCTGGTCCATCCTCTGCCCCCCCTCTGCAGGCACTGACACACATTGGGGAGGTCCCCTCTCAGTGTCTCCTCTAGAGGCTGAACAGCCCCTGCTCCCTTGGCCTTTCCTCATGAGGGAGATGCTCCATCCCTTCAGCATCTCTGCAGCCTCCTCTGGACCTGCTCCAGGAGCTCCATGTCCCTCCTGTCCTGAGGAGCCCAGAACTGGACACAGCACTGCAGATGTGCCTCCCCAGGGCTGATCTGCTGGGAAGGCTCTTCCCAATGTCCCCCAGGATCCCACTGGCCTTCCTGACCCCCAGGGCTCCAGGGGTGAGGAAGTGCAGAGTGAGGAGGTGTGCTCGTGTTCCAGTGGGAAAATGCAGGTGCTTTGCCCCCAGGCTGCCCCTGGGATCCCAGTGCTGCCACACTCTGCCTTCATGGGGCATGGTTATGCAGATTTTATTGCTGCACGTTAGAGTGTCTTAACTTACCAACCTTCAGGTGTCAGGAGTTATTGTTGTACCTTCAGGCCTCGAAAGATGAAAGTCCAGTGCCCCACCTGAGGGAAAGGGCTCCTGAGGAGCCCTGGGTTCTGGCTGGGCCCCTGCCTGTGCCATCCCCTGCCACGGTGGGATCTGCTGCACAAGCACTGTTCCAAAGGCAGCCCGGGCCTTTGGAAGGGCTGTGTCTGTTTGTGTTCCTGAACAGCTGTAAATGTGTCTGGTACAGCACAACAACTGCAGTTATCAGCTTGCAGGGCTGTATTGTAATCAAAAGCTATTAATAGCAACTCAGAGCAGTGATCAGCAATTACTGTGGCACTGGGGGAGTGCAGTGGAGTGACTGGTTTCTCTGAAACTGGTTCTCTGGTTCTTTCTCAGTGCTGGGTTTTAAAACCTCAGAGTAGCAATTTCACTGTACCCAGGCTGGTGTAGGATCTGCTACACTGACATCTCTGGGGTGTAGCATCATGTCTGGATAACCTGGAGATGCTGGAAGCATGTTGTGGAATCCCAGTTTGAACTGACAGTCAACCACAGGTTGGTTGGAGTGAGATCCATGTGGGAACTCTCATTTAAGGATATATTAATGGAACTGCTTCCTGTGGAAGTGCCAGCACAAGAGGTGGTGGAATAACTTGGTAAATCAAACAGATGAGCAGAGATTTCTTACAGGTCTAAGGGAACTTGACAGTGTATTTGCTCAGCTACTGACTGGTCTATACCCTCTCATTTTAAAACTTACTTCCAGCTGGAAGGTGATGGCTGTGACTCCAATGGAGAAATCCAGGGAACTCCAAGCCAGTGGGACTGATGTCTCTACTGGACAAATTAATAGGAATTCTAACAGACAGACTTAGTGCAAAAGAGAAATCATAGAATGTGTTGACAAAGACTCACCATGGCTTTTGGAAGAGTGAGTTATGCTTCACAAACCTGTTGGAGTTCTCTGAGTCAACGGTTCTGTTGGAAAAGGACATCAGTATAGCGCCTGGATTTCAAAAATGTGTTTTGACAGTGTCCCTTACCAAAGTGTGCCAAAGAAATGGCACAGTGGTTGTGGAGAAGGAATGGTTCTCATATGGATGAGGAGCTGGGATGGAGGGTGAGCATATGTTGTTAATTTTCATCATGGAGGAGATGGAGATCTGTGCTTAAGGATATGTTGTTGTTCAACACTAAGGAATAATTGTGAAAATACAGTGATTAGTAAATGGCAGCTTGTTGGCAAATCCAAACTCTTCAGAGTGGTAAAGAACTGTAGAAGAACCTTGTGAAATTAGTGACTTGATGATGAATTCAATGTGGATTAATAGAAAGTGATGCACATGGGGGGAAAAAATAGTTTGTGCCTCACATGTAAATGATTATTGCTGCCTTCCTGCAGGATCTGGGTATTAGAATAAATAGATGTATGAAAGCATGAGCTCAGTAATGGTCCAGAAATCCAAATCAAGTTTAAACGTTCTTGGGAAAAACCTAGAAAACAGCTAGTTAGTACGTGTTTGCCCTTTTTTGACTTTTCCCTTTGTAGCTGCTGTTGGCTCTGTGAGAGGCAGGATATCACACCAGGGGACCTCTGGTCTGACCTGGTACAGCTTTTAGACTGTGGAATATTCAGGGAGTACCACCTGTCATAGGGAGTGTAGTGGGCTGCAATGAAGCAGCATTGCCAGGTAGGGAAATGTTACCCATTTTTGTGGGGATATGGACCAGGATTTTAGAATCTTGGGGAGGAGGTTCTCCCATCCTGTGCCTGCTCCCCCACATAAGTTCCACACTGCTGTCTCTGGTGTACCAGGAATAATTTGTTTGGATTGTTTGGAATTTAATTTTTGAGTTGTTGTAATATGGATTGACGTGATTCTTGTTCTCTCAGTGCTCTTCTGCTCACCCTGAATGTTCTCATTCCATGAAGCTGGAGCTAATAGACAACTTTATTGGCTTCAGGGCAGCATCTGCTGTGCTTGCCCTTTGGACAAGGCAGGGACTGCACGGCATGCAGTTCAAATATAGATGTTGGTGGCCTCTGCCCTTGGATGCAGCAGGATGACACTTGTCACTGCACAGCTCTGTGCTTTCCTGGGGAATGTTGGATCTCCAGGGAAAGCAGTGATTTGTGCAGCAGTTTGACATTGCTGGGGCAAGCACACAGTAAATTGTTTCCACTGTCTGGGTGATGCAGTTGCTGGTGTTGGGAGGTCAGTGCCCCACCTCTGTTCCCTTTGCAAGTGCCAGTTACACTCAGGGAACTGTTGCCCTCCTGTGCCTCTCACACCTTCTGCCCTGCCTACTCCAGCTTTGGGACCTGCTTGGTTCAGCCTCCTCTTCCCTCCCTTTCCAGACTGTCCTGTGATCTGGTGCAGGTGTCAGAGGTGTTGCTGTCCTGGTGATTTGCAGGCCTTGTTTTGGGGATGATCCTGAGCTTCTGAGGCAAACCAGATTTGTGTTTTGGCACGTGCCCTGCTCTGGTGTAGTGAACGAGGAGCTGAGTGAAAGCAGAGCCATATCCCGCCTGTGGAATAGGCTGTATGGGCTGGTGGGTTGTAAAGCTGCCAAAGATACCTTAGGATGAAAATCCTAATGAAATCAGTTTGAGTCAATAGTATCCTGCATTCTGTCTCTTGGAAAACCTCCAGGAAATTGTTGCACTAATGTGAGAAGGGAGTAGGAAAAGCAAACTGAATTCTTGTGGCAGAGGAAGCACTGAGCTCTGTGAGCCTGTGAGGCTGGAACGCTGCTCCAGGAGCCAGGGGAGGGCCTGGGGCCATCCTCAAACACAGCAGTTACTCGTTCCTAACATTTCTGTGAAGAAAACATGTATTGCAGTGAGGTCAAAAGGCAACTATAAGCAGCTCCTGCTACTATTCCATTACTGCAGGGATGTCTTGTTCTGAGTCTACGAAATTTGAGCCACTTGTGTTGTTATTTCTGTGCCAGAAGTCATGAAAAATAAACATTCAGGTGGTGTGATCAGAGCAAAGCATTCTCTGTTGATATCCATGGATAGCTGAGTGCTGCGTCTGGGCCGGGAGAGCCCGTGTGGGGTGGATGGGGTGGGCTGGAATGGTGGGGCTCTTCCTTCCCTCCTCCTCTCTCCCCTCCCTTGAATCCCTCAAGTTAAATCTGAGTCTGGTGTTTCTCAGACCTTCATTTCAAGTGCAAGAGAGAGTCTTTGTACGTGACTGACTGAGTGTGAGCATCACACACAAAGCCACAAGGTAGGAGAATACCCTAGAGAATACCCTAGAGAATACCTAGAGAATGTGCTCTGGAGGGGAATATCCCAACCCAACAACCCTGCTGGAAACCAGCACGAAGTCTTGGTGCCTGGGTAGGAACTAGTGCTTGGAATATGGGATTTTCAGTGGTTTAAGACAGACATTCTATGATTCTGGAGTAAAAGTGCTTGAGTCAATGTGGTGTGAGCAAGGGACATTTTATTTCTGCCTTGGAGTGTTTGTGCTCCTTTTTTATTGGATCACTTAAAAGTTTTGTAGTTTATTTCTGGCTTTTATTTCTGTTCTTCATTAAAGAACAGAAATTCATTACTTCTGTGTCCAAGTCTCTGAAGCTGGACAAGGAGCTGGCATTAATTCCCTGCTAATTGTGGTGGCTGACGCTCGCTGTGCCCTATCTATGGACAGAAACCAATCCCTATTTAAATACTTCCCTGTGTGTGGTGGGGTTTTTGGGTGGCTTTTTTTGATGCCATTATCATGGCCTTGATGTAATCACTGAAATAGAAGGGTGTGGGAAGTAGTAAAGCTATTACAGAACATGCACATGGAAAAAGCCTTGACTCAAAATGTTGAATCATTTGCCACACAACTTCTTTTTTTCCCTTTTTTTGCCCTGTGACTCTCTTTATGAACTGTTCTGGTTCCTGGAACTGCTCAGAAATGTTGCAGGAAAGGCAGCTATAGTCACCTGCTAGCCCCACTTTCAGACAGTTGGTCACTTGAAAGCTAAACAGAGGTGCACCCTCTGGAATGTTTGGTCACTGCTTGATCTAATAAATGATCTAATAATTGGGAAAAACCCCACTTGTCCCCAAACTTTTTTTTCCCTTTCTGGAATTGGAATCCCCTTTCATCCTGTCTCTTCAGCCACTTGGCTTCCCTTTCCCTCTTCACCCAGCCTCAC